ATGAGAAAATCTAACTCATACAACATAACCAGGCATGGACATTGTGAAAAGGGTCATTTAAATTTGGCCATATCTCTGAATTCTCAAATGTCATAATGCCTGTACATATATTACAAGGAAGGGTTTTTAAACCTGTTATTGCATTATTACCTTAGAATAACAAAATACCAAGGTCAAACGAGTTGGGGAATGTGATGAATTGTTTGCTAGATCTCCAACAAGTATTTGCAATTGTACTTTCATAGTGCACTGAAATGATCTAAAACCTAACTGCTCCATTAAAATCTGAACACTTATGGTGTATTTAGACAATGCTGTGCAATGCAATGCGGGGTATATGCAGGTGTTTGCGTGTATGACAGCATTCCTGACAGTCTTCCAATGTGTTTGTATGTGTCTACAGGGGGTTAACCGGGTGGGAAAGGACGCTCAGCTCGGACGTGGCGGCGTGCGGAGAAAAGACTGGCACGATTATGAAGCGATCAAAAGAGATTCATCTCGAATTGGTAGGTCCAAACCTCCTTATACATATTCTGTCAAAAATAGATGAGAGCTGCATGACATATTTATCATGTACACAAACTTCATAGTTATGCAGAAAAATGTCATATACTGAAGAAAGATTCACACACATCCAGAGTTACTGCTCTTCTCCTATTCCCTCTCTGGGTCTTATTGCTCTCCTGTGCTGCAGCAGCAATGTAAATCTGTGCTTTGAACGCAGCTTCTGCTGTCATAAATACAGTTTATATGTGCTACAATAATCACCAACTCTGTTTTATTTTCTGTTCAGGGAAATCAGCTTCTATACAAACAGTGTAAATTATTCAAAATGGGTTTTCTTACTGAAATGAGATGTTAAAGGCTAAAAGTTATTTTCCACACTTGTTACCTTTAGGAGGGAAAGTGGATAATTTCAGCTTGATGAAACATGTATGTCTGTGAATGATGAGGGTTGTTTTTGTTCTCTGGGTATCCCCAAGTCCCTGATTCCCCTGTAATAAATCTGCACAATATGAAGTTGGAAAAATATGAAACTGTCTTAAGCAGTTCAGCCATAAGAGTTTATATTTATTTCATTGTGTTTCATCAGCAGGTTTCTTGTTCTGAATATCTTTTATTATTATTAAACTTTGATTGACTTTACTTGATTTATACAGACCATGGTTGCAAAATAAATGTTTTATTTAGTTATAAAACCTCAGCTTTAACCCACAACTGGACATTATGTAGTGTTCTTCAGCCATGTTTTATTTTATTTCTCTTATTCTTTATTCTCTATTTTCTTATACTATCAGATTTTTTACTTTGTAGACTTTTTATGTTCAGTGTAATGGTTCTTTCTTTGTTTTGGTTATTACATTCATTTAAAGTATAAATCTAGGTACAGTAGGTGTTTGGCTATCACCTTTCCATTGGGGTAAATAGTTCTTAAGTTCTGTCTTAATATGTCTGAAGTGTGTTTTCTATATTTAAGAACGTAAATTGTGTTAAATTCTGTTAGATTTTACATTTTGAAATACTTTTTTAAAGGTTTCTTCTGATGAGGAGTCCATGTAAACTTGACATGTCATAATTTGCTCTTTTATGTTCTTTCTTTTTTCAACGATGAAATTGGCCCTATTTTGCATTTATATTTGCATTAAAAGGCCTTAAAACTTCCCCCTGTAAGAACAGCCATAAGAAAGCTTTGGTGGGTTAATTGCATGGATTATATGTTTCTGTTTAAACTTTGATTTTGCCCATTATCTTATCTTAATGAAAGTGGGGAACTTTTAATTGCTGTACAATATGCGTGTCTGCTGAAGAGAACCACTGTGGTGAAACTGATACACTGATGTCTTGTACATGTTTTGATAGTGAAATCTGTGTGTATGATGTAGGTAACGGTGAACAGGGGAAGCCGTTCCCTCTGACAGACGCTGACCGGGTCGACCAGGCCTACAGGGAGAACGGCTTCAACATTTACGTCAGCGACCGGATCTCCCTCAACCGCTCTGTCCCCGACATCCGCCATCAAAAGTGAGTCCTGTGTGTGTGTGTGTGTTTGTCTAGGGAGGGATACAGTTTAGGGCGAGCAAGAAATGTGGCAAGATAAACATTACCGCAGGTGTGACATTCATATGTTTACAGAGTTTTATATTGGACCAAGAAGATTGTGACATCACTGTATTTCATAAGGGTTCCTCCAAGTGTGTCTTCACAGTCATAACTGCACTTAAGTATTGCAGCATGACTATTACTACACTTGACTGCTTGTTATTGTGAAGGTAGACAAAAAAAGTCACTGTCAGATGCATTTGCAGGATCTTCAGAAAATGAGTTTTGGAGTAGTTTACGCTGACAATATAAGTGTGTTATAACTGACACTATTATGCAAATTCCTCGATGAAGCTACAGTGATAGATGCTGAACTTTAAATATTGATAGACTGACTATTTATCTACAAGCACATCTGTCTTGATAAGTTAACATAACTCTTGTCACTATAGTTGGTTTGTCAGATATTTTTATTATATTTCATGACTTAATAAACAAACCACGTTGGTGATTTTAGCCCCATCTCAATCTGCCCTTAACAGTGACCAGATGAAAAACGCTTCCTTTTAAAAATTCCAGTAAAGTGCCCAGTAACCCAAAACTGCCATTTTTCTAGAAAAAATAAATAAATCACCCGTGTTTGTGTGAGAAGTTTCATCTGAATAGGGGCAGGAACACGCCACAGGGGGCCAAGAGTCTGCAGGTTTTCATTCCAGCCAAAGAGTGCAGCAGGTTATTTCACAGATTGGCACTCCATCAACCGGAGAGGAAAAATGAATCACCTGGTGCACTCCTTGGTTGAATTGAAAACCGGCAGACTCCCAGCCCTTCGTGGCAGATGGTTGTTTCTCCCCCCCACCCAAAATAAGGTTGACTATTGCACGAGAGGCCAGCTTGCGTGCAGGACTGACCAGGGAAATCTGTTTTAAGGGGAAGGAGACCGAAAGAGAAAGCTAATACATTCTGAGTTTTCTGATGATTTCAAGAGGGTGCTGTTGATTTCTGAATTTGGATTGTGAGACATCAATGTGGGCATGACTTCTTATATCCATGTGTTTTTTGTTACAGTTTGACTAGGCAATCTAAGGCTAAAACTTGTATTTTGGTCATTTTCAAATTGCCAAAACAAGTGCCTTTGTCTTGGACATGCCGTGGACCTGACAGCTGTGAGACTTGACTTATCTGGACTTGGACTATTTGGAGAGCAAAAACATTCAAATCTCAAAGTCTGACCTGCTGAAATCTCATACTGTGACTTTCTCTGACAGACCTCTCCCCTAAAGACTTAAACACAACTCTTACTTTATATTTCTGCCCTCTTGCCATTGAAAATGACAGATGTGAAGCAAATGAATTTACTAATAATAAATGAAGCAAAACACAAATGGTGTGCCATCAGTAGTTGTGCTGGATCCCCCTCCTTTCTCCTCCTGCTCCAGTTGTGAAGAGAAGATGGACAATTCTACCCTAACACCAAACTCTACTTAGAGCATTGTTCACACCTTTATGTTTCCATGCTGGATCCGTCCCAGCTCATTACAACAAGCACTGTTTGGAACAATTGTTCCAATTATCAACCTGCCCAGTCTATTCACAGGAGAGATGTAGCTTTACACTGACAGAAGCTGATTACACACCGCACAACACCTCTGTACTTATAAACTGTGTTCTTGACAGCAATTATCAGTGTCATTGATGTTCCCCTCTGTGCGCCAGGTGTGACGAACTGATGATAGATGTGTGCTGGGGTAATTTTCCAGAAAGTGGGGCACGTTCTCTTCACTGACAGAACATCAGTGAAAAGAATAAAGGTGAAATCTCTTAAACAGGACAAACACTAATGAACCCCAGTGCTCCACAATATGAAACCGATGGAATATTGACTTTTTTTGTTAATATTTGTCCTTTGAGGTAATACCATGGGATCATTAAAATCCAATTTTTTCATCGCCTTGGGAGCATGAATGTAAAAATGGAAAATTTCCTGGCAATCTGCCTCTCACACGGTGAGATATCTTGCGTGCAATGTTGACATCCTGGCCTCAAGGTTGGCATTTGCAGAATGCTCCTGGATTCAAAAATGCAAACAGGCCATTACATTTTGATGTTCCTTGGGAAGAGATGGGAGTTTTGATCTGATGGCAGGTCTAGAAGAAAAGTGAGGAAGTGACCAAAAACATTGGGATTCATCCTCTGGGGACCACAGTCATTTAAAGCAATGTTAGACCAGTAATTGTTGAGATGCATCGATCAGCCATAACATGAAGACCACTGACTGGTGAAGTGAATAACACTCATTATCTGGTTATCAT